TCCTACAGTAAAATAAGCACATGTCGATGTCCCATTTGACCTCTTCAGATGTTTTCCAGGACATACCGATGTTCTTCAAAAACACACATAATATACGATAAGGTTAAAGGCCTAATGAATCACTGGCCCGTAAGTAATACTCCAATTAAAATGACTTCCTTTCCGCCTCCCCGTGAGCAAGGGCAGGTGCTAATGCAAGACGGCCCGCTCTCATGGAGGTCACTCACAGGCTGCTATGGGTTATGGTAGGACATCTGTTCTCACTGCTGGGGTCTACGAGCTCCTGGGGTTACTTTTTTTTATTATTATTATGCTCACAGACATATATATGCACGCACACACTCCCCTCCTTCCATCGGGGTGGTCACCGGAGTCGGCCGGTGTAAGTGAGTTAGGAATATTTCCAGGTGAGCTAATTATTCTTCTGCTGTCATGTTTCCAGTCGAGCGTGCAGGACTAACCCCGATATAATCCCCTGAACACAATCAAGCCTTTATTTAATTTTGCTTCTCATATCATGTGCATCCACGCAGCCCCAAGAAAGCATCTCCGCTCGCTTCTGAGACCCCTTCCATTTCTCTTCCCATTTAAACAATGAACATCATAAAGAGGCGGAGATAGAAAAGGGTCATTCTTTGAAACGGGTTATTTGTTGTATTTTCTGTAGCATTTCAAACATTTAGATTTATGGAATAGTTTATTGTTTTAAAAGAGGGAAAATGTGAGGGTGTATTGATGCGTTATAATACTTTGTCTTAAAGAGAGAGAGAGAGAGAGAGAGAGAGAGAGAGAGAGAGAGAGAGAGAGAGAGAGAGAGAGAGAGAGAGAGAATAAAGGCATAATGCTGGCTTTTTATTTCCATATTTTGCTGTCCTCCTCCTCATTCTTCTCCATTTCTGTCACCTTTTGATTGCGTTTAAAGTGCACTGGGTGAAAGTGTTAACCGAACAGTATAAATAACACTTCTAGCTATACGGTCCACATGGGAGCACATCGAAACCTGCCCTTATTATGCAGTGCTATATAGATATTTTTCAGCCATGGGTCTATAAAATATCCAAACCCGCCTATAGGGATACACCGATATGAACATTTTGGCCGATATACCGATAAACGATAATTCTTTCTATTCGAAAGGCGATAACCGAGATATTGGCCGATAAATCTAAATCCAAATTTTTATAGCATTTTTGAGAGCCTGATTACAAAAACAAAAGTCTCACTATTAGAAGTCATGTCCCAAGCACACAATTATGATGTTCTCGTTATAATTTTATGTTGTCTTTATGACAGACTTGCGGTGCACATGTTGCACTTCACTGTATTTTCCTTTTTTTTGAAGTGATTCCAATCATAGTTCAAGCAATTCAAAACCATCATGATGAACAGTGCGCATCTGAAGTGTCTCAGCTGAAGGAAATATTACATTTATTGTCTTTAATATATCGGCCAAATTTTCTTATTGGGCCGATTACGATAAAATTAAAAAGGATTGTATATCGGCCGATACTGATATGGTGGCCGATATATCGTGCATCCCTAGCAACCTTGTAATACGTTTAATAATTAATGACAGGCTGCTGCATTATTGTAAATAAATGCAAACCAGACATGATAATGCGGCCACGGTGCAAAGCGGAATTGCTTAACAAATGTGTAGATGTAAAAACTCTGTCCACCAAACAGCATCAACCATTTAATAGGGATAGTTAGCATTGTCAAATGATATATCAAATCAGCAAGGTTTTGCACTCTCTGTTGCAGAAGGTATTCACACACACGTAGACATAAACAATCAATCAGTGACTGGCACTCACGGAGAGGTACTTGCAGTTATGCTGCATCTTGAGGCATCTATATAATCAAAGAAGTGTTTATCCATGATGGTGGATGTCATTAAAACGCCTTCTGTCTGCATCTCTCGCCCAAGACACAAGCAACAGCCTAACAAGACTACAGTCACTCAATCCCATCACTCTCTCTCTCTCTCTCTCTCTCTCTCTCTCTCTCTCTCTCTCTCTCTCTCTCTCTCTCTCTCTCTCTCTCTCTCTCTCTCTCTCTCTCTCTCTCTCTCTCTCTCTCTCTCTCTCTCTCTCTCTCTCTCTCTCTCTCTCTGCATTCCCTTCTTTCTCTTTCAAGTGTTCTCAAAGCTGCCTTGAATCCCTAATGATGGAAAGAAAATGAAAAATATGGATGGTAGGGAAATTAATGTATGTTAATCATTGCTCAGAGCTCATGATGATATAATTTCCTAAATGTGTGTGTGTGTGTGTGTGTGTGTGTGTGTGTGTGCAAATGTGATTAATATTGTGATTTATACAAATGTTATTAATAATTACACATTTTAGATTTTTAATTTTTTTAACTAAGTGTGATGCCAAGTTACAGTTGATAGATAGACAGACAGACAGACAGATAGATAGATAGATAGATAGATAGATAGATAGATAGATAGATAGATAGATAGATAGATAGATAGATAGATAGATAGATAGATAGA